GGGACTCAACTTACTTCCTTCAAAGCAGGGGATGTGTCTCACCTTTGGGCTTAGAAAGTTGACTTAGCAGGAAAACAGCTGCAAAACGAGTTAGGCAGGGACACACAGGTGACGTCCCACCAGAAGCATCACTGCAAAGACACATTTCATATAACAAGCCCTCTCCACGTCTCAATGCTCACTGAAACGAGAGAAGTCCCCAAAAGGAGCGGCCCTGGGGGGGTGTGCGGCCCCCAGCAGGGGCCGGCCGGCCTTAGGAGTTACCGGGGCTGGGGTGACTCACAGGACTGGCGGTCACTAATGCGGCCGCAGGCTCTCCACGCAGCTCGAGGAACCAGGCTGAACCAACGCCTAACTCTTTCTGGCCAGATGGCAGTTAACGCCCATCCCTCTTCCTCACTCCCCCGCTCAATCAGACCTAAACAAACCCAGACAAGAGGAGTCCTAACACGCCCCCGGAGCCAATTTTCACGGAGAAAAGGACCAGAAATGGGTACAGTGGACACCGGACCCCATGCCAGCCGCAATCTACGTGCATCACTGCGTCCAGTCTTCACGTCAACAACGCCGTGAGGCGGGCCCTCTTACCGACGCCATCCACTGAGTGGGAGGCACTGGGGGTCAGGAGAGCTGCCCCAGGCTGACACTAGTCTAAGCTGCGCGGGCCCCGGGGTCCAGAGTCTGTGCGCGCAGGCACCGCCCCGGGGTCCTCTCGCTGGGACCACGCTACGGACCCCCCGAGTGGGGTCGCCGATTCTCACACCCAGACCACGTCCAGACCAGCAGTTCAGGGGAGGTGACCTGAGTGGCCCCAGGCGTCGGCATGTTGTCGAAGCCCTGCAGGCAGTTCCTGCTGGTGGCTAAGGCTGGGACCCACCGTGTCAACATGCGTGACAGCCCCCACTTCCCACTCACTAAACAGGGATGGAGATCGGCTTGCTTCCTTCCCTGCCTCGCGCCTGGGAATAGGCTTACGGTCTTTAAAAACAATTTCTCTAACGGCACAAAGTGGGGGCGTCACCCTCTGGAATTCACTGTGTTTGGAACACACTGTGCAGAACTGTCACCTGCAATAACTCAGTGTTGAGTCACAGATACAGAAACTCCGGCAATTAGAGAAGTTGAAGACTTTAAACGGTCCTTAAGCGATGAGGGACAAGCAGCACCCCCGCTGAGGAGGGCGGACGGCAGGTGGGGGCGGCGCACGCCTGCCAGCTCGTCACACCGAAGCAGCTGACATTTCCCTTGGAAATGGCACGCCACCTCTCCGAGGGAAGGCGGGGCAGGCGCCGACAACTCCCAACGCATTTAAAGATGAAACAGAGCTGTCAGAGACGATTATCCGTTTGTCAAGTTGTTTGGAGTCCAAATGACAAAAACGCGCACTTCTGCACACAGGACAGGCATCCGTGTTTTTGAGAAACAACCTGGAGTTTTACAATCATTTCCACAAGTCCTCCGCCCCCTTCCCATCTTCCCTTTTCAAACTAATTTCAGGCTTTATGTTCCTGGCGTTTCCCGTGGGAGGATGTCTGCGCTTTCAGGTGTCCTCGTGGGCGAGAGGACAGAGTGGCCGTCACCCTGTTCCTTTTCTCCCTTTCACGTTCTTCCGAGTCACTAATTAGCCTGCAAACTGGTGATGCTGTGTGGACAGAGAACGGCTTATGGAATCTGTGAATCACTCAGGCTGACGGGGTGCAGAGGTTTGGAGCGGAAACAGATCTAAACGACCCTTCGTCCCTCCCTCCTCCTTCCTGAGTGAGGAGGCAGGAGGGACTAGGGAGGTCAGGCGCCTCCTCCAAGGCCAGCGGAGACCTGGCCTCCGTTCTGCACGTGCTCGGTCCTCCTGCACGGGGTCCAAGCACCACCTCACCCAAAACACCATTATATCAAACTCTTTTATTTTCTCTTAAGAAAGTAAGTTCCAACTGCATTTCAGGAAACAAAATCTATTCTTTAGTGATGGACCATTATCAAAAGCTGAAATAGGATCTGATGTAAAATAATGTTTGGTTTGAAAGCTGGCTTTTAAAGGAGCACAAGGAAGTGGGAAGGTTTTCTGGCTTTTTATGCTTGTATGACTCATTCTCACAATATAAAAATGACTTTATGCTCTCAAGCATATGGTTCCTGAATATTATACCAAATAACTTTACATCATACAAAGTCAAACATGTTTTACGTTTGTTGAAAACTTGAAATAGAGTATAGAGAAGAAAACAAAGGCTCCCAATAACCCAGTGACTTTTCGTTTCGGCACATCTCCCACGAGCGTGGCACACATTCAGCCTCTGAACGTACACAGGCATCTTCGTGTGCTGATGCGACACTTGTGCATTTAACAGTATCACCATTGTTCTGCACTCACAATTATACACCCTGCCTGTTCCGTGTAACCTTGTAGCAGGACCACCTTCGCAAAGACACTGGACTGGATCATAAACAAATGTGCAACCCTGAGCACCCACGGAGGTGAAACCACAGACGGAGCATTTGCACAAGAGCTAAGAGGTCAAGGCTGAGGCTGACGGACTGGCTAGACGGGGACAACACTGCCCAGCTCCCTGGTTCCAGTTCCCACCTCCGGAGCAGGGTGCACACACACGCACCACACCCCAACCACTGTCTCCTTAACCCCGTCAGCCCCCAGCAACCACTAAGCCACTTTCTGTCTCTGAGGACTGGCCCATTCTGGATGTTCCTATAAGCGGAACCCTCTGATATGGGCACTTTGTGACAGCGTCTCTCACTTAGCGTGTTTCCAGGTTCAGCCACGCTGGGTGCACACCAGTGTGTCACTTCTTTTTCATTGCCAAAGAACATGCCACCACATGGAGGTACCACACTTTACTTATCCGGGGTTGTTCTGCTTTGCGGCTACTGTGAATGAGCCAGCGCTGCTATGTGGACACTCATGTACGAGTTTTTGTGTAGACACGTACTCCCATTTCTTTTGGTGACATGCCGTGGAGTGGAAGCACTGGGTCACGCAGTCACTGTGTGACCTCCAGGCAGTGCCAGAGACGCTGCTCACTTGTGAGCCCTCCAGTTGGTCCTGAACTAACACACGTCTGATTTGATTTCCTCTTCTGTGGAGCTGACGCTGAGTGAAGAGACCATTACGTTCAAAACTGAGGATAGAAAGTCAAACCTGCTGTTTCCTGTGCATCTTCTAACAAACAGCCCTTAAAATTTATATTATTATGAGGATCTTGAAATATCTGGTCCAGTCCAATTGACAAACAATTTCAGAAACATTATTATAACTATAACAAAATGTTCACATATACATACAAATACTCCTTTTCATATTCCTTTTCATTATAGGTTAACAAACAAAATGTTCACTATAGAGCACGACTTAAACAGTGCTGCTGAATTTAAAAGCCCAGTGTCTGCAGTAACTAGAACGCCTGCATCAGAGAACCCACCACTCTCGCTTACAGAAGAATTACTGGGAGAACCTGTTAAAAAAGTCAGATTCTAGGCTCTGCCCCTAGAGACTGTGACCCAGTGGGTCCCGAGTGGGGTCCAAAGGTCTATTTTTCGTAAGTTTCCCCAAACACACGTAGGTGATTCTGGTACAGACTCCAGTCTGGCCAAAGTGATCAGCTTTTGTATTTTCTTTTTTAAAAAATTAATTAATTCATTTAAAAATTTGATTGACGTGTAGCTGACTTACAGTGCTAGTTTCAGGTGGGCTTTGGGTCCCCTGACATCGGCTGGCCTGGCACTGCCAGGCTGCCTCCTGTCTCCTCCAGGAACACCTGTCCATCCTTCCGGACGTGCCGCACTCACCTTCCAGATCCTTCCTGAACGACGTCTTCTGGAAGGACTCTCCTCTTCCTGTGTACGCACCTAAGACGCCGAGGTCTGGATCTGTTTTGTCGATGCGTCTATTGTCCTCTATCATTGATTATATGTGACTCAAAATATACCCTATTTACCAGCCCAACAGTAAGTGGCCTGAAGGCAGAGAATGGCCTGTTTTTTGTTCTGGCCCTGCACGTAGGTGCTGAAGACACTGATGTTTCAGACCTAAAAATTCTAGAGCTGCCTCGACATGTCTGAGTTGCCTCACGAGCTCCCTGCTCTCGATGGATACGCACCCCCTCAGAAGGAAAGGTCCCCCCACTGCTTCCCTATAAGCCAGCCTGGCTGTGCCCCGACCAGCCTTCAACCCAGCAGCCTCCCGCTCCCCGCCAGCCCACAGAGCTCCTCAAACAGCCCATCACCTCCTCCCCAGAGCCAGCACCCCCCCCACTTCTTCAGCCTGCGGCCCCGTGGGTGACCCGTGCAGGTGACTAATGACCCCGTGGTCTGCCCTGCCCAGGCGGGCGTCAGGTGCTCAGCCTCCTCCCCCTACTCAGGACGCGCGCCCACCCCCCTGGGGGAAGAGGAGGGGATCGGGGCAGGCGGGGCTGAGCCTCTGTGCTGTCGGCTAAGCGGCCGTGGGCTGGGAGTGGAGAGTTCCTAAACCGCTCTCTCTGGCCTGTGCTGTGTGTGTGTACTTCACCGGAGGGCAGGAGGGCAGGGGCTGGAGTCAGGTGCTGGACAGTATTTCGAAAACCCAGTCATCAGGATGAAAGAGGAGCAATACTCCGCAAACCACATTTTGTCGAAAGCTGAGCCACCCAGCCTGGCTGGCGAATTTAGGCGCCGTGTCGCCGGGCACAGCCGGCACGACCTGCCTTTCCTCTCCTCTCCCTCGGCCCTCGATGCTCGTCTCTCCCAGGGGCATGCCGGGGCGCAGGGGGCCGGGAAGGCTGGCACTTGCACAAGACGGCTCCCTCTGAAGACAGCGGAAATGCTGCAGGGCTGTGCTGGACATTCAGGGAAACGCTGGCATCGTGTGTCACCAGTCAGAGTGACGTGCTGAGAGCCAGAAATCATGCGACACTGAGGGAATGTCTCTTTCCTCAATAACAGCAGAGGGCAAACCACAGTGGCACACCTCAGCACGGCGCCCCCGGGACCCCCCTTTCCCCGGGGCCCCTCACCTTTCAAGGTGGCCTTCTTAAGGACTTTCATCGCATAGAGCTGCCCGGCGTCGGACCCCTTGACCTTCCTCACCAGGAACACCTTCCGAAGAGAACACAGAACACCTGCGGTTGATAAGACTGCAAATTCATTCTCCTTATTTGATTTGACACGAGATACACAAGGGAGTACAGAAAACTCCAACACAATAAATACATGGCAGAAAAAATGAAACTGTAGAATCTTCTCCAGCAGACTCCAAAACGATCCAGACTGCCAGCAAGAGTTTTATCTAATCTGTACAACCCAGAGAGGAACTGCATTGTGTTCGTATGAAGAATCATTGTTGTTTTTGGTACTGTTCGCTTTCCCCGAGACATTTTATTTCAGAAGTAATACAGTCCTCCTTTTTTTAAAAAAAGATCAGTTGTTCAGAAAAACATACTATTCAAAAGTTTTAAGGGTGATCATTTGGTTTATTGTAAATATCGCCTGTACACCCCCACTGAGGTCACCCCAAATGTCAGCACCAGTCACGGGACAGACTCCAGTTCTCGAGATGAGCTGAGTTCTCTTATTTTGAGCTTTTTCCACCCGAATTTTAGCTTTGAGTAGCTTGAGCTTACAGACAGCGTTCGTTTCTAGACAGCGCTCACATATATGCATGTGGACACTTGGCTGCACTTTATGAAGCCCATTTTCAGGTGTATCACAAAAGAAAACCAAAAGGAGAAAGAAGACAACTGTTTGAGGCAGGCTGAGCTTAGAAGTCATATTCATGATTATCAAACAAAACTAGTAAAAATACAAACTAACCTGGGTGCTGCTACCAGAAAAAACCCACTTTCCATGCAAATGAAGACAACAGTATTGCTTTTCCTAGTAGTGTGTGTGTGTCCAGGAGGCGCAGGTGATGCTGGCATGCGCCCTGGGGGGTGCCTCCCTCCCCCAGCCTCCTGAAGCCAGGAAGACCTGCCACCACAGACGCACGGGGTCCAGCTCCAGGAGCCAGCGGGAGGGGCTGGGCACCCACCACGGACAGAGACACGGCACAGGGATGGGGGGGGTGGGGGCAGGCGCGCGGGAACACAGGGTCTGATGCACCCGCAGACGAGTCTGTCCTGCTCACAGGAGACGGCTCGGAACCTCCCTGCAGACACAGCCCGCTGCTGTGTCTTAGTACCGGCCGCCACCCTGCATTCTCGCTTCCCTCCTCCCATGCCTTACAAATGTACTGAACAGCCATTTCTGGAGACCACAACATTTTGAATACGGGTGATTCTGAATGGTTCAGATGAACACGTCTGTAGATACCTTAATACAATCTCATGTTCTTTACTGCACTGCTGTGTGACAGAGAAAAAAAATAAAAGAAAAAGACATTCTACCTTCTAAGAATGTCAAAGCATAGAGCTAGTAAACAATCAGACTTTCGTGGTCTGTGACACATTATCCAGGACGTCACTAACATACTATTAATCCCAGTGAAATCAACAGGGGCCGGAGTTCATCCTGACACCAGGTCCTGTGAAGAATGGGGCAATCCGGGGAAAGTGCAGACACCACACAAAAATAGTTACTCTAAAAGCCAGGACTCTGCTCTGCTCATATTCTCAGAAAGGCTGGCGTCACAGTTTATCTCAGGCCCTCGTGTTCTGGAAATCAAAAGTCTATGTAATTTCTAACAGTTACATGAAGGACGCAGACAGATTAGCCCTACTGTGGAATAACTCACATGTCCTCAAAAGATGCGCTGGCACCCTGCTATGGGGGGGTGGCCCTATATGAAGGGACAATGATCTCATTTCCTGAGCGAAATCAGTTTTCATTTTAATTTGAAGGTGAAAAAGAAAGGAAACGAACAACCCTGGCATGCAGGTTCTTCCTAGACAACCGCCAGACAGGAGCTATGCTGTATTTAATCCACAGATAATTATACAAAGTAGTTCATATTACGTCCATTTTATAGACAGGGAAACTGAGGCTGGGAGCGGCAAAGTAACTGCACAGTGGACGTCGGGGGTCAGAGAGGAGCCAGGCTGCAGGTCCTGGACTTGTGATGAGCAACAGTCTCAGTCAACTGGTCCCAAAGGGCACTGTCTTCTCCTTTCCTTTCTTTCTTATTATTTCTCTTATTTCTTCCTCCCTTTGACAACTGCCTGTGCAGGGTGCCCTTCCAAAGATGCATGGCTCAAGTTCACGGACCCGACTCACCATGGGGATAAATGAAGGCCCACAGAAGCTACAGGAGAGGAAGGTGTGTGTGGTCTCCCAAGGGTGTGGGCAGCCCAGCCTCATGGCTGTGCAAAGTGAGGCCACGGCTGCAGGTGCCACGGGGCCTGCCATGTGGGCGTGGCCAGGACTTTCCATCCTGTCAGCTCAGCCACGTTTCCCTTGGGCTCAAGGGAAACCTTTGCCCTCCCTCCTTCCCCAGACTCTCAAGTGCCTTGCCCTGACGTGGGGAAGCAGCCCAGGGGAGTGAGACCCCGAGAGGGAACGAGGACCTCACTTACTTTTCCATAGGATCCTTGTCCCAAAACTTTCAGCAGCTCAAACTGGGAGGGGTCGGCCTTTTCAAACCCTTCTTTCACATGATGACTGATGTCAATCTCCTTCACGACGCCTTCTTCCTGCAAGAGAAAAACGACACAGATACAAGGATGGGGTCCCTTTGGATCCACCCGCCACGGAGTTACGAGTCGGGGACGTTACAGATTTTCGGGATCGGAGTCCAAAGACGCGGCGCCACAGAGCTTGACACGAGCGTCTTGCTGATTTGTGTCAGTTACTGTCTGTGAGCCTTTGTTTCTTTTCTCCGTGAGGTTTTGTCCTTGGGTCTTAGCAGCATCTCGAGCGAATGAAAAGCGTGGGTCACCTGCCCAGCGCCAGCTACTTGAAATGGAAACACTGAGAGTAGGTGCTTTCCTGACAGTGGAGCCTGACTGTTCCTGGAATTCGTCTCCGTGCCTCCAAGACCCCCTTTCCGGTCCGTCCGCCTGTCTGACCGCTCAGCCCTCTTGCAGTCTTGGCGCCAGGCTGAGTACTGGCAAACATCAGAGTGAGCGGGCCAAAAATCGCATCTACAAATCGCTACCAGTAACTGCACGCACAGTGCGTTCCGGGCACTCAGGACTTGCCACGCATTATTGCTTTTATTCCTTAAAAAGCCCCACGAAGTGGAGATTTCATCCCGATGGAGGTCACACAGCTGGAGTGTGAGAGCTGAGTTTTCAGTCAAGGTCGACGTCAAAGCCACACACTCCCTCCCTGTGTTTTAGTCCAGGAGCAAAGATTTGCAAATGAAATCACAATGGCAGCATCACAAAAAAGCCTCTCTCAAAAGTGTGTGAAAAATCCAGTTTCTCAAAAGTTACAAACTTTATTATTTTATCTCCACGTAACCAGCAGCAGACACCCTGAAGAGCAGGGGCAGGCGGTGCAGGCTGCAGACCTCCCAGGCCGGCGAGCCACCTCTGCGGCTGTCTTTGGCTTTTCTCCTTATTCCAATGGCTAAAGGAAACACTTCAATTTCCACATCTTCAAGGATTATTTGTCATTTGGGTAAAAAAAAAGTTTTTCTATTTGTGAAAACAATGAATATAGCCAGAATGGATTCTTTACGGCCAGTTCGTAAAGTTTATATGGTTTACACGTGCACAGTTAGAAGATGAAGAATTGTAACGTCCTTGCTTCATAACTACTTTAAAAATTTTTTGTTTATGTGGAGGGGGCAATTCGGTTTACTTACTTACTTACCTATTTATTTATTTACTTATTATTTTTTATTTAACGGAGGCACTGGGCATTGACCCCAGGACCCCGTGCCTGCTAAGCACACGCTCTACCCCTGAGCTGCACCCTCCCCCTGGAAGACATCTGCTTCTCAGCCTTTGATTAGAATGTTAAGGAAGTGATGACTCAAGAAGGGGTAAACTGAGGCACAGGGTCCTGGGTTCAATCCCCAGTCCCTCTATTAAAATGGGAACGGCATTAAAACCTCAGGTTTCTCTCCAATAATACTGCAACACAGTTCATTTCTCATTTAAAATCAGTAAGGTCTTGAACAGCAAAGAGTCTCAACTGTCCGTAGAAAAAGGAACCAAGAGTTCCACATTTTAGATTTTAGGGTTCCGCATTCACAGTGATGTTTTGGATTGAACTTGCCTGAAGACACTTGGGTTTTCTCTAGAAGAGAGAAAGAGAGAGGAGAGAAAGAAAGAGAGAGAGAGGAAGGAAGGAAGGAAGAAGAAAAGAGAAAAGGTCTGGAATCCAATGCTGAGTACAGAGGCCAATGAGCATGGAAAACACTCAGGTGGAAACAGGCAAAGCTGCCCAGGTCTGTCCGCTTCTGTTTCCAGACCCGACAGCCCGGTTTTCCAGATCGTTTCATGATAATTGCTGTAACGGCAACCGAATTAAAATATTGAACATGCTTCATTTTGAAATAAGCCCCTTTTCTCTCTTACAGGGCAGGCCATTTTCCCTGGAACTCTATGTGGATTTTAATGCCGTTCCCTTAAGAAAGTAAAGTCGTCCACACATAGCACTAAACATGGAGTTTCTAGCACAACTCTCGTAAAAGAGCATTTCTTTCTTAAATAACTTGAGACATTTGAGGGGAGAACCAGGTGTCACGGTCAGGTATTAGCTTTATAATCAAGAATTTCAAAGCTGTTCTAACGTGAGAGATAAAAGCTAGAGAGATATTGTTGAACTGACGTCGACGTATGACAGAATAATCTATGACAGTGAACTTGGGAATCCCCATTGAACTGTGCTTGAAATTGTGACTTATGGAAGAAATCCCTGCCCAAGTAACTGAGCAGCTGTCTCTAGAGGCTGGCGAAGTGGGGGGACAGTGACAGAAACAGGCCAGTGGGGACAAGTGGCCGCTGTCCCCTGCTCTCCGCCCCGTGCCAAAGACACCTTGGTATGTAATTTTCTCTGCTCTGAACCATCTGCTTTTCATGCCATTAAAGGGAGACTATTTATGAAAAGTAAACGCGGATTAAAAATGCAAAATAATGATGAAGACATAGAAAACAACAATTGGGCAAGTGTTAGATCTGTCTCCAAAAAATGGGGAGAGGTGACTCTAGAAATCACTGATTTGCACGCAGGGTATCATTCCCAGAAAGAGCAAGGAAATTACCTGACCTCTGACTTGCTACGAGCGAGTCCCGCCAGCGCCCCCCACCCCCCACAGCTGACACTTCACTCAGCAGAGACGGGTAAGCTGCAGCCTGGACGGCAGGCGTCCCGCCGGAAGCTCAGGTCAGCAGAGGGGCTCCCCGTCAGGGCACCACCCGCCCCTCTCCCAGACCCCAAACTGTGACGCGATCGCCCTGGAACGACACCTTGTTCCAGAGGCTCACGACCTGGCCACGGTGCCCCTGCATCAGAGCCACCAGGGCACTAGTTAACCACGCAGAGTCCAGGCCCCCGGCCAGGACTGCTGAGTCTAGGGCCTGTGTGCAGGACGCGGTTCACCCCTCCCCATCCTAACGGGCGGCTCTCCGCAGCACACACACAGTAAAATACACACTTTGCAGTAAAATACACACTTGGCGGCCCCTGCCCCACCCGCCTGCCCCTTTCCTGACACAGGTCTTTGCTCACTGTCTCCAGCCCCTTCCTCTCCTCTCTTAAACCCACTGCCACCCACTCACCATTTCACCAGGACTGTTCCCATCAAGTCATCGGAACCTTCCACGGTGCAAACCCAGTGGCCAGACTTCAGTGTCCCCAGGACTGGGCATCACCCCATCTTCCTCAAGACATCTTCCTCACTTGGATTCCAGGACATCCCACTCACCAGGTCCCCGCCACCCCCCTATTCTTCCATCTCCTTTTTGGTTCTTCCTTTATCTCCCTGTGTCCCGTCCCCCGTCCCCCCTCGTCTCCTTCCACACCAGCGCCCCTTGGGACCTCATCCTGTCCCGGGCTTCGTGGTCCATCTAGACATGGGCAACTCTCAGGTCTGGACCTCCCCCGGACTCCAGATTTGAGGTTCCTGGGTGCACGTGCGCGAGGGGGACCTGCAGAGGCTGTGTGCCTGCCCAGGGTCTCAGCTTTACGCGGCCGGTGAGGGGTCTACAGGGCAAACCCACCCTCAACTCACCGGCATGTCGGCTGCCCTGGGGAGGGGGTCGGGGCCACCGTCTTCTCACCCGGGCTCCTGCTCTGAGGGTTTCCTACCACTTGCCAACCCATCAGTGCATTTACCTGTTTTTAAGAAGATATTTTAGGGGAGTCGGTCTAGTTTAGTGGCATGCTCAGGGTGCACGAGGTCCTGGGTTTATTCCTCAGTGCCTCCATTAAAAACGAATCAAAAATAGGAAAAAATGGCAAAAAAGGAGTATTCTTCTTAAAAAAAAACCCAAGAAGATATTTTATCCATATTTCTGCTTTTAGCAATTGGCTCATCACACCTGGCCTGCCGTACTGCTAGGAAGTTCATGAAGAGTCACCGAATAGCTTATCTGCCTTCTCCAGGGATGGAAGACAGGGCAGACCCTGGAGGGCCCCTCCGGGGGGGGGGGCACACCCCCCATAAAGCTTCCAGAACCAACGAGCACAGACCGTTCCCTACAAAGCCCCCGAGGAGGTGGCCTGTGCACGTTATAACACAAGGCAAGGACGGCCAGACGTGACCACAGACTCAGAATCTCAGGGAGCCTCCTCCTTCCAGACGGGTCGGGGGCTCCTCCAGGGAGCCCAGGGGCCAAGCCCTGAGCAGACCCCGAACTCCTGCGCCCGGATGCAGGCTCTCAGCATCGCGGCTTCCCTCCCGAACCACCGGGGAAGTTTCTGAGACGCAGTGGCCAGTGCATCGCAGTGTCTCCTCTGCTCTTTAAATCACTCTTAACGCGTCTCAGCCAACGTGTGAGCAGACGCGAAATGCAGTTACAGGACCAGCTGCACCGGCCCCGCCAGTGCCTTGGGGAACTGTTTCTACAGAAAGCTCCCACCTTTTCCCAAGGGTTAGATGTAAGCGGAGAGGGGAACTCACACTGGCTCGGTGCGCTGGACTCTAGACAGAACAAGGAGAGCCCAACGGAAGAATGAATCGTCTGCGAAGCCACGGGGCGAGGGGAAGAAACAGACGGCTGGATGAAGCGGGAGGCGGCGGGGGGGTGGGGGCAGCCCTGGGGCTGCAGGAGCCGGACGATGCCCCTGGGCAGGGCAGGGCCTGCCGGGCCTGAGGCCTGCTCTCCACCCGCAGCGTCCGGGGCCTGGACCACAGACCCCCCTGGACACCGCAGGACCCCAGGGCAGAACAGGTGCTCTGCTCTCATCCACCCGGGACCGGCACTTTCCCTCTGTTACCAAAGAAAGCGATCCAGCACACGGGGCATCACGGGACTGGCTCACATGCCGGAGCATTACGCACGGCGTGCCCCGTAGCTGGGGTGCCTCCACCTTCAGAGAGAAACCCTGAGCCGCTCCTGAAGCCCCCAGCCACTAGACTGGGCTAAACTCGGGATTTCCGCATCCCAGCGGAGCGGAGGAAGAATCCAAGATGCGCCTCCCGTTCATTCTTTCTTTTCCTCCTCACCCAGCCCCTGCCCTCTCCCTTCCCGCCCGACTCCTATGGATTCCGGTTATTAAGGCAGGATGGATTTTTTCC